TTGTTTATTCAGCAGCTCTAAATATGTTTTGAGAAATGGAGACTCACACCGGACGGCAGCGAGGACATCGCTGCGTCACCAACTGATGTGAGAAGGACCAGAGAGGAGCCCACATTTTGCTTTTATCCCTAGGAATGCCGTCGGCTTCTTTAATTTCTTTCTCCGTATCCTGGTTTGAGATTCTGTTTACACTGCATCTGAATTCATTCAGGAAAGAACTTGTGATTATGGATATTATATTTGCTTCTATTGGGTGGAAGTTTGGTGAAGCACCAGGTGAGTGCATTCCAGAAGTGACTGATTCAGTAGCCACACTATAATGTTTGCATATTATTTCTTAGGGATTTTTTCTTTCTTGGCGTGTTTCTATTATAAAAGTGACCTTTAGAAGATGTGGGTTATAGATGAAACACGCGTTGAATTATTTTTGCACATGGCTCTATAATCCACATGCTGGAGATGGGTTTTGTCTGCCATTGTCCTAGGAGTTTTCATTTCATCCATTGTGTTACCATTATTGCCTATTGTTCAGACTGGACGTTTTGTACTCTTTTAATCCTTTTAAATGACACGTGAAGCTGGGACCTTTTATAGTTACTATGACCATTTAAGTCTTAAAAAAATGCTGTAGGCTGTTGAAATTTAAAAATAAAAATAAAAATCAGGTACATAGCATGTAGGCGTGTGAAAATTAAACTTTGCCAGCCTAGAATATTCAACAGTTGCATAATGTGGGGTTAGGACAGACTTCTCAAAATTGAGAATGACGTCAGAAACTGTGTGTGGTGGTGAGCAAGCAATCTCCATTTTTAGTCTTTCTATTTGATAGCAAGTCCATGATCATGAAACAGGCAGCTTGTCCTGCTTCTCCTCTTCCCCCCATACTGCTGCAGAGCTCCATGTGTGGGGGAGCAATACAGGCAGTCAGGGCTCCTGGTTGCAGTGCTCATCATTCTGCACTAAGGACCCTGCTCCATCTCCTGCTTCCTTTTGTCTGTTATGTGATCTTAGGGCTTCTTGCTCTGGTTTTAATATAAAATACGGTCAAAGGAGTACAAAAGACTGCAAATAAATGATACTATTGAGATTAATCCAGGCTTTTTCCAGCTTTAGTCAGATCTGTCGCAGATCCCAAAGCTTGATTTTATTCATTATTACAGCTCAGAGCCATGTAGACCCGTATGGCTGGTCTCCTACCTCAGCTGTGTGGCTGCATGTTTGCAAAGGCCTTCTGCCTGGCTCCAAGTGCCACTGCTGCCCCTCAGCCATGCCCTGCCCCGGTGGCACCTGGAAAGCTGGAGCTCTGGGAACAGAAATCTGCCCTGACATTCTTTAGTGAGAGCGTCTGTCTGTCTTCCATGCTCTCCAGAGAGATACTCTTCTGACACAGTGTTAGAGCTGCTGGTAGTCTTGGTTTTTCTCTTGGTGCAGTGGCCAAAGTAAGCTGAACAGATCCAGTAGAAGTGGTCAGAGGCAGAAAAATGACTTGAGATAATTGTTGTCAAGGGGAATGGAATGTTTCTCTGGCATGTTAGTTAGCATATTGGAAGATGACCTTAGCCTAATCGTTAGAATGAGTTCAAAATGAGAAACTTAAAACCTTGTTTCACAAACCAAAATAACACAGTTTAACCTTTTCCTTTTTTTCCTATTTGGCTGAAGCCTTATTTGCTGATTTTTGACTCAAATTCACTAGTGGCATTTTCCCAGAAAGTGTATTTTCAACAAAATTAGCATTTGCCAGTGTTCCTTTGTCCATGTCTAATAGGCATTTCCTTTATGAAGTGAGCTAAGTGCAAGAGGAACTTACTTTTGTAAGAAATTCAGTGCCACCTCTCACTTTCTATACCCGGCATTCAAAATACTCTTCTTTAAAAATGGTTTTACACTCGGTGTGCCTGGGCCATGCTACTCAGGCAATGCCTTTTTTATATTTATTTATTTTTATTTTTTTTTACAGACAAACATCTGATTTTACCTTTATGTGAGGGATGTAGGCTTTTTTTTTTTTTTTTTTTTTTTTTTTTTTTTTTTAGATCAATGAAATGAGTGAAGTGGGAGGGCTTCTGCCATCCATGACATCCTGTCATTACTTTTAGAGCACTGTGTCCCCATCCCAGCCAGGCACAAATGTCTCTGTGCTGTGGCACTTCTCTGTTGCCCCATTTCATTTTTTTTCCCCGAGGTTCACTTTCTCCCCATGGCTGTCTTGTTCATTTCTGGTCATCTTTGGCTGCATCCCAGCCCCCAGAGGATGGCCCCCACACTGCTGCAGCCCAACGCGCCTTGTTAGGCTTTACAGACTAAACCCATCAAAGCTTCGGTGGCTTCTCACAAGTACAGCGTTGTCTTCCTGAGCCTCTGGATTAAGAAAATAACACTGCTGTCAGAGTGAAGGGCTGCATGTCTCAGTGTATTCTAGATGCTGATTCCAAAGGGAAGAGGTTTAAACAGGATTTAGGGAGGTGCGTCTGATTTTGGTGATTGTTGTGGCGGAAGCTTCAGTGCAGGATGTGCCCTGTGCTCAGCCCCGCACTGATGGAGCACCAGAGGTCTGAGATGGCCTTAGCACAGGCAGTTCTTGGCTCCTGAAATCTGTTGGTATCCAAAAGTCTTCAGCATATCAAAGATGGAGGGAGGGGCGAGAAGTGAATATCCATGCACAGGTGAGTGGCCCAAGAGCCAGGCAGCTTGTGTCAGAACACGGGGGAGTGATGAGGCTCTTAGGCACAGTTGGGTGGCTGCAAGGCATACAGCTGCCCTGGGGTTATGTCTGACCCCATAAGTTCACTCACCTTTGTGTTAAGCACAGCAGTACGTAGGCACAAGGCGCTTAACCCAGAAGCAGCTCCAAGCTGAGGTCCCATGGGCACGTGCAGGCCTGAGAGCTCGGCGGCGTTCATGCTGACCTCTAGGAGATAAATTGACCGTTACATGAAGTTTGCATGTCTGAAGTATTGGTCTCTGTGTTAACCAACATACCTGAAGTGAAACCCACATTCAGGAGACTGCCAACAGAATGACAGCCATACTTCCCATTGGGTTCTCCAGGCAGAAAGCAGAGTGGGGCGTCTCGCAGTCTGACTTTGTGCTGTGCTCTGTTAGCGCTTCTCTTTTTATTTTATAAGACAGTCTAAATACATCGTCTTCAAATGAAGGTGCCTATGCCTCCAGGTTTCTTTTTTTTTCTACGTGTATTTTGAAATAGATAGCTCTTTCCTTTCTGGTCATTCAGTTACCTAATAACGGCACAGACAAGAAAGGCACATGAGAAAAATCAATCCACTAGTGTATTTTTTGTGTGGTATTTGGGGGTTTACGTGTTTGTTTGTTTCTAACACTGGTCAGCAATAATTATTTTAGCCATATACTAGCTAAAAAAAGACCAATAAAGCAGGATTTGTGAGCTAAGCTTCTCCATTTGCAGTGTGCTGCCCAACCCGGGCATGTGAAAGGGAGCTGCGCTCAGTAGGAGTGTTTTGCAGCATTTTGTTGTTTTCCTTCCCTGGCCTGATAGTGATCACGAGCATAATATTCTGTAAAACTCATCATGAATGGTGAACAAAGCACATTGTTTTTAACAGAAATATATCCCTTTGTCATTGAAAGTTCTTAGTGTGATCTGCGATACCAAAATATTTAGATTATTATGAGACTTTAGTACTGAAGATATCCATGCTCCCTGTTTTAACTGTTTCAAGTGAAGTTTAGTGAATGACAATTTGTTGATACACAACTGTGGGAAAACACTGCAGTGCTCTAAATGTATATTTTTATTTGGTTTTGTTATATTTAGTATATGAGTTAATAGAAACTGGAGTGTTTACTACAGTTGGATCATTGTAATAACATCTCTTACCTCGTCATTTTGTCTGCTGTGAAAATATTTTTTTTATTTTTTTTTTTTTTCAAATTGGCCATAGTCAATGTTAACATTTAGACTCCTAGTAGCAGTAAATGCTGGGTTTTATATATATATAAATATATATAAAAGAAAAAATTGATTTTTTGCTTTATGAACTTATACAACTTTGTGATTTTTATCTGATTTTATTGTAACATAAAGTTGTTTTACGTAAAAATATATAGTTTAAGTAAAATCTCTTGTCTCACTGTCTTCATTGACTTCAGCAAATGGATAGTGTTTCCCTGCAGTGTATCACGTGGTTGCAAAGCTGGACTCGAGGTAATGCTGTCACTCAGTAAGGAATGTGATTTAGATCTATCTGTATGCTGTAGTGCATTAGATACATACTCTAAAAACCTTATTTCCATGAGGTAGAGCTTAGAAACCTTTGTTCTGCTCTACTGTTAGAACAGCTAGATTGGGGTGCAGGGCTGGGCAGAGAGATAAGTGCTGTACTGGAGAAGTCATTTCTAGATATATTGTGGTATGAAATTTGGGACTTACTGCAGTCTGGGTAAGACCCCTCACTGGTAAGAGGCTCTGTGTCGTCCTGCTGGGAGATGCTCAGGACCAAAAACCTCATGGAGTCCTGTACCTGGTGGAGCAGCCTTGGTGGCAGCTGGAACTGCTCTTTTCTTTTGAGGGATGTTCTTTGGAGGGATAAATGGGACCCAGGAGTAAGCCTCTGCTGTTCTCCATTAAGATCCTGAGGTTAGCAGCACTCTCCCAGCAGAGGCAGTTTCCCAAGGTGAAACATCTGTGTCCCACAGCCCATCCCTGAGTGGGGATAGCACTGTGCTGCTGCTACAGATTGCACATAAAGATGCTTTCAGCATCCTTGTGTTCATCACACAGAAACAGTGTTTGCTGTCTTGGCATTAACCCAGGCCTCCCCCAAGGGATTTATAAGGTTTGAAGATTGCTAAATGGATGAGGCTTGTTGTGCCTTTGTTACTCTGGGTTACGTGGCTGCAAATGTCAGCACTGGGGTGAGCGGGAAGCACAGCCTCTCCTGACCTTTCTCCAGAGCTCCTCGATCAGGAGCCATCCATAGCTCTGCCAAATAGCTCAGTAATCTGGGGCAGCCCCTGAGTAACCAGGAGGTGTGAAAGCGGCTCATGTGCACTGTAGCAGTTGTGGGAAGCACTGCTCCTTGCCGGCTGCCTGGCACCCGGGTGACGAACATTCCCAGCAGAAGCAGCCAGGTCAGTGAGCTGAGGTGTCAGGGAAATCAGCTGCCGCATGCCGATAATGCCTTCATTGTCACTTTTGACTGGATTCCTATCAGGAAGCTTGGAGAGCCTCCAAAACAAGGTTTGTACTTCTCAAATTATTCATTAAACAGCTTTTTGCCAGGCTGTGTGATAGCGAGCTGTGATATGCTGCCTTGGGATTTCTGGCGAAAATACAAGTGAAGGTGAGATGAAATTTCAGTGTAATATTTGACACATGAACAGATGAATGACTTTGTAATATGTGCTCCTTTTGGTATTCTCCTTGTATCAGCAATCCAGGAAAAGTTTAAGCCCTGACTTGGAGAAAAAAACACCATCTGAGCAGTCGGAGTCCCATACAGCAGCAGTGTGCTGGGTGAGATGGACTCACCGTGCCTCATGTAACTGATGGCAGGGCTGGATTTTCAGAGATGCAGTAGGAGGCAGTGTGCTGAGCACCCTGTTGATATCCCAGCCAGGCCGGGTGCCACGGGCTGCCTGAGGGCATAAATACCCGAGGAACGATTCTTGGTGGTTTGCATTCAGATCTATGAGCAGATACATCCATTGGTACATGATGGGCATTGATTGGAGCTTTTTTTTCCTTTTCCTGTATTGTCTGTTTGCCTTGTTAGGACTGGTGGTCTAAGGAAAAGAAATCTGTAGCAGTAATCAAGAGAGAGCTTGTCTCCTGAGTTTCCATAATTGGGTATGATTTGTTGCATATGCCCTGGATTGAGTGTAATGTATGCTGGCTGGAGGGAATCCAGGCATACAGGGAATTATAAATAACACCAGGACAGGCAACCTTTTTGCATTACTGTGTCATACTGAATGGTATCAGTTTTCAAAGCTATCCACTTTCAGGCTTTTGTCGTTTGTTTCACTGCTGCCATTAGCCAGGGCTTTCCATTTACAGGAGATGCAAGTTTGCACCGTTCATTAACCTAGAGATGAGTGATGCCAAATGGGATCCTGGAGACTCTTGAAGAAAGGACCCAGGTAATTATTCATGTCATTCAAACTTTACTTGCATAAAGCTGTGATGGGTGCATTTGTAGAGATAATCCCTGGCTCTGAAAGCTGGGAAAGTGCAGTGATTCACTCTCTCCTCTCACTGCAGAGGTCCCCTGGCCATCAGCACAGTCATTGCTGTGGGAGGGAAACAGCTTTAGGACAGCACTGAGAGACACACACAAATGCTGCTTAAAAAGCAGGAAGCAGAAGTAGTGATACATTGCACAGCAGCCCAGCTCTCCTTCATTAAACTGAGAGTTTGTATGCTTTATTGGTTTGGATGAAAAACGAACAGGGTCCTGTGTCCCTAAGGATGCACAGCCTTAGCTTTCTGCTTCGTGTCCCACCTAGGGTAGCTGGTGTTTGGGGGCCAGCTCTCTGATGTGTTAAGGTCCTTGGGCAGACCCAGGCAGCGTTTTTCTGCAGCAGAGAGAGCTGCTGCTATGGATTTGTCATTGGTCATTCAGGGATACAGTCAGCTGTGTAGCTCCTCTTTCAGAAAGAAACCTCAAGGCACCGATAGGCTATTAATGATGTACAAGTCCTCATTTCTGCGTGTGATAAATGCATGCAAGGGCAAGCATTATGGGGGTGTTGGAGTGCTGCTGTGTTTGCTAGGGACTGTGGGATGCTGTCCCAAATGCCCCACACAGGAAGTGCTCCTTCACAGGCAAGGTGGGCAGGGGAGGCATGAGTTGAGGCAGAACACGCCTCTCCTTTGCCCCTCTGTATGCTCAGTGTCCGTAAGCACTTCTCAGTGCCCTTGTTCTGAAGTAGCTGACTGGCTCTGGAGAAGGGATGGCAGCAGGCTCCACGCAGCACAGTGGACGTGTGGGTGTGGGATCTCTTTTTGCCGTCACCACTGCTGAGCAGGAAGAGACTGTGGGACGGGCAGTGACTCACTTGCTGATGAGTATCAACTCTGGCGTCTTTGTAAGAGCAGCACAGATCCGTGTTGTCACCCCAGTGCCTGTGCTGCCCACTCTTGTGGAGCCAGAACCTTGCTGCTGGCACCAGGATTCAAACCCATCTCTGTGGGCAGTGGCTGGGGGCTGGGAGGGGAGTGGGAATGGCTGCTGGCTTCAGGCTACCCCATGCTTCCATCTATAGGATGGTGTTCGGAGCAAGACAAAGGACTGTTGCCTTGGAACAGAAGGGTATTGCAGAAGATTTTATGGCACTAAGAGTGACTAAGTGCAATGAACTCGCATAGGACCAGTATCCCAGTAGGATGCTGTGCATCTTTCCCCAGATGCAGCCTGCCAGCAGAGAGGGTATAGGAGAGGTCTGTGCTACCCATTGTAGTTCCCCTGGTTTCAGTCTGGTGAGCTGTTTGCCACAGAAGTGAAGCCCATGTCATAGCATTTCCCCAGACTCCTCATCCTCTGGCCATTGGCAGCTCGGTGTTTGGCTATGGATTCCTCCTCCCTCCCACTCGCCCACTTGCAGCCACCTGCCCTCTCCTCTGCTCCTGGCTGTGTCCTCTTCTCCCTGCTGAACAAGTCCTGATCCTTTGGAGGTGCCATTGCCACTGGTCAAGGGCAGAAAACTGGACAGAGTCCAGCAGACAGATGTGGAGGATTTGAGACCTGAGGGAGCCCAAGAACAGCAAGGAGCTGGGGCAGAAGGGGGCTTCTTGTGAAAATGAGCAAGAGTAGATTTTGGTTTAATATGTTTTCGGTGCAGTTAGCAGCTCCTTCTTGCTCCTGGAGCAATGGCTTGCTATAGACAGCTTGTTTTATGCAGCGTTTTCACAAGTAGCTGAGCTGTTAATGTCACTGCTACCTGAGCAGATTTAATTCTGCTGCTTCTCGCTTTCAGCTTACTGTGACATGCTGAGAATGAAAATTGCATGCTTTTCTACTAGGGAGAAAAAAAAAAAAAGAAAAACCCACTATGTTCTGGAGCAGTTTCCAGTGTGTGCTGTCCCCAAGGATTTGCTTATGGATTGTTGGGAGCTGCTTCCAATGCCAGGCCCTGCGGCAGCATTTCTTAAAAGATACCTTCACTGCCATTCACCTTTTATCATCACTGTGGATTTAATTGAAATGATGCGTCCTTCTTTCCTACAATATCATGTTACTATGACACACAGTGCACAGCTGTTCTCTCTGATGAAAACAGGAAGTTTTGGAATTAAAGATGCTTTTCAACTGGAAGTATGCGTAACCTCAAGTCTCATTTTCCTCAGAAAGAGTGCACATTTATCTACCCACCTCTTCTCTGAAAAGCACTGAAAGAAGCAGCATTTTGCATCTTTTTATTAGTCGTAATGAATGCCTTCACACACATCAGCTTTGTTCCTCTTGCTCCACGTGTCCTGGCATAGACTTGCATCTTCTTATTTTAAGGTATAAAAGGAAGGAGTGGAAGTGGGCTGAGGGGATTCTGTGGCACAAGGGCCAGTGGGAGGCCAATCGTGTTCCCAATGATGGGATTACAATCTTCACCCAGGTGGGGCTGGCAGGGCAGCAGACAGGGAGTGAGTCATAGTCACAGAATCACAGAATGGCTTGGGTTGGTGGGGGCCTTAATGCTCACCCAAGCCCTGCTGTGGTCTGGCTGCCCTCAGGCTGCCCATCCAGCCTGGCCTTGAACACCTCCAGTGATGGGGCACCCACATCTCATGAGAGCAAAGCAGAGGAGCCTAGTATGAGCCCTGTAAAGACCAGGTTAGGTCTTGATTTTTGGTAGAAACAGTAACTCAGTGTTGCTTTTTTCTTTCTTGGCTTTAACAAAGCAGCAGAGGAAAGCATGGATCTGCAGCATGCAGTCATGGTGTGGCTGGGGAGAACTCTTGTTCTGTTTGCAACGATGAGAAATGAAACTGAGTTCAACATCCATGCCATATCAGAGCCATCCATCAGGGGATGAAGCCTTGAACTGTTCATTTATGGGATGCAGAAGTGACACTGCGGCCTGCTGGCAGGCATTGCTCATGCCCTCAGGCCAGGCAGGGCTGTGCAGGGGCACACAGGATACAGCCTCAGCTGTGAATCAGCCATGTGTGTGCCGTGGCTTGATGACAGAGGAGCCTCATCCATCCTGAGAAGCAGTGCAGTGACAGAACTGCTGACAAATCCATCTCTGTGCTGCCATCCCCAGCCAATGCTGCGGGCTTGCGTGTGCTGGGTGCTGCAATCCTGCTGCGATCAAAGGGTGGGCTGTCAGAGCACAGCTCTCCTTGTCAGCCCAAGCAGTCTTTGAATACATTTATGTTAAGTCTTCCTAAAAATACTGCCAGCAGCTGCCTGGCCTGCCTACATCTCGTTAAAAGCTCATAAGGCACAGCAACAGGGGTTAGCAGGAACTGAGCCCTCACCACTGTGCTACACAGCAACCTCCTAGTGCTATGAACCCTTTAAAGCCAGAGACCTGCATTTATATTCAACAGATTCTGCAGGCTGTTCCTTCACTGGCCCAAGAAAGGGGTGCTTTAATGGCAATGCAAAGAACTTCAGAGCTCAGCACCAATCCAGCACCATACAGAGCTGCTCACCCCAGAGCCAGCCCTTAGTCCAGATTCTTGAGTTGTTCTATCCATCAGCTCTTGTGGATTTACAGATTAAATAGATCTACTTTTTCTACAGTAAAACAAAGTATTTGCAAATTTGTTATTGATCTACATATTTCACAAATATTTGAAAAAAATACATGGATTTACATATATCCTTATTGTGAATTGCTGCATGGTTGACACTTGCTCTCAAAACCAGAGGACTGGAAGTAAAGCTTACAGCAAAGCAGAATCCTAAAATGAGAGAACCCAGAATCCACTTCAGCTGTTTGGATCTGTTTTTATTAATGGTCAGTGTAAATTCCAGAATAAATTTTGAATCATTTTTTTCACCATCTATCCAAAGTAGATACAGCCTTTAAATGTAACATTGAGTTGTTAAGGAGGCTGGTCCAGGCACAATGCAAGTAACTACTGCTTAACCAGATAATTTAAACTCATGAGAGGAGCTATGAACACATACTGATGTTGCCAGTGGAGAAATGCAGCGCTGTAAGACAGAGCTATATTCAAGAAAATACTCTATACAGCATTTTGGCTTTCCTCTCTGCCACCACTTCTGTGAAACTGTAGATATAGGAAAAACGCTTTTTGTCTAGAAACACTCCGAGCTTCCCACTAAAAAGTAAGCTTTTCAGTAATTACCACAGTAGTGATTATCTCAAACCTGACGGCAGTCTTTTCCAATCAGCACTGTTTGACTTTCGTAAGTGCACACCTTATGACATAATGGTAAGAGAAGTATCCAGTGCAGTTATCTGAGAGCAGACTGCATCAGACAAGCAAAATGTCTGAGAAACTTCTAGACAACAGAAGCAGGAAGATGAAGTACCAAATTATGCCTAGTTTGCTAGACTGCTTTTGTCACCATGTAATGAAATACACTTTGATTTCATTTTTCACTCCATTTTTCACTTCATTTTTGCGACAGCAGTGCTGTGGAGTAACAACCTAAATATAATGTGTGTTTCTATCCAGTATATCCAGTATTTTTGCTGTCTGCAGATGTGGTGAAAGCTATATAGCGTTGAGCCAGAAACAGCTGTTAATGCAAGTGGATGTTGGAGTATGACATTACATGCAAAAATAAGAATCTGTAGCTCCTGCAGAAAATCAACAGGACCCTTTAACTCTACAAACATTTGTGCATTTTAAGAACACATGCACAAACACAATCTTACTGTTCTTTCATTTTGAAAGGCACTCTTCTATGACACGCAAAAACACGACCAATACTGTTCCAGTCAGTAGTCTGTTAGTCTAAATTGGTTAGTTGTCCCATTCTCCATTATTCTGATCATTATTTTCCTCTTCAGAATCAGCAGACACTTTCTTAATTCTCTGGATGACTGCTTTAATGCTTCTTTCTAGCTCATTAGTAGAGTCTTTACTGACATCTTTCTCAGTATCTCTACTCACTTTTCTTAGTTTAACTCCTTGCCTTATGGCAGAGAGAATGTTATCTTTCACAGAGGCATACGGATTTGGCTGTTCCACTTTGCGGAGATGAACTTCACCACGTTTTAGAGAAGCCAACACCTCATCCATCGTACCTGCAACAGATAAGTCTATCATTAACAGAAGCAGGAAGACAAGCATGGTTACAAGTACAGAATCCTACTTGTGCGTTCAGGGTTCCTTTCATCTCTGCTAGAGACAGAAGGAAGAATAGTCCCTTCTGGTACTGACTTGTAATAGCTTCTGCAGTGCCATACTCTGGCACTGAAGAGTTAAACCTTTGTATCTTGAATTGAGAAACCAACGCCTCTTCAACATTATACAAGGTTGAGCACTAACAAGGAAATTATACACGAAGGAGAATGCTTCTTTTTCATTATAACTTTATGGCTTTTCAAAAAAAAAAATTACTGAACCAAGAAATCTCTTGTATTCCATATTAGAAACAATCTACCACTCCTAGCTTGCTCAGATGCCTGCTGAGACTGTCAATTGCATTTTTGCTCAGCCAAAAGAAAAACGAAAAGATTCGAGAAGAAGGGTTTGAAACTACACCACTGAAGTCAGTGGGAGCCAGATCACAGCTTAAGCAGGCAAGCAGACAGCTCTTTTCTGTGTAGACTTGAAGAAAATAATTCCCATTTTACAACATGATTTAAATCTCAGGCTATGTTTATGGACTTCAGACCATAAAGAACACCCCAGTGAGAAAGCTCCTGCTGGCTCTATTGCTACGCACTGCAATTTGTGTTGTAGCCCTCTTGTTGGATTCTTAGACTGTCAGATGGGAAAGCAATTCCCCTGGACAGCAGTCTAGTCCTACAGCCACAGGTCCAGACCACCTGTACCTCACAACAGCAAGGATCGTTGCCACGCACAGTGTTAGCTGCTTGAGCACTGAAAATGCAACATCCTGCTGAATCCTGTGGTATCTTCAGAGACTGACAAGAGATGCTAGAAGAGGATCAAGCAGAGACCCACAAAGTTGTCTTGCAGTGCTTCTTAGTAAGAAAGCTACTAGCGAGGCTGTTCCAGCGGCAATCTGAATATTCTGGTGTACAACTCATGTTACTAATCAAAGCCTTTTATGAGTATCTGTGGCACAGTAATCCCACAGTCTTCTTAGTCTGAAGTCAGCACATTAATCCACTGGATGCACAGTAGTTTGTCATGCTAGCCTGTGTTCAGCCTTCCAACTGCTCGTACTTCCTCACACCTTGGAAGAACTCAAAATGCTTAACTTTACTCAGAGTTTCTGCCCTTGGTCTGCCTCTTAACTGAGAGGATACAAAGGCTGCTTAAATGTATTGTGAACAGTCTGAAAAGGAATGATCTTTATATAAAGACCTGCTTCAGTTTAGCATGAGCTCTACTGTGACAAATGGCAATGGAAAAATTGCTGCCTTCCAACTTAGTTCAATCTGCCCAACTCAGTCCAAATACTTGCTTGCTTTAGAGACAAAAATAAGTCTGTTAGCAGGATGTAAGCAGTGCAGCCTCGAGAGACTGCTGAGCTCTATTCTCATTCAAACGACTATGCTTCAATTGCAGAGTTCAGCCTTCAATTACACCTGCATGATCTTGCTAACAAAGCAGAGGGGGTAACAGAGCAGAATTTTTGCCCTAGGAATGCAAATATGCCAAAGCTATCCATCTACCTTTCAAATCCTGATTGGATTCTGCATGAATTCTCTCAAGAATCCTTTGTTCAGAAACCAAGCAAATTGTAAGCGGACACAGGCTGTGCATACCTTAGAAATGCAAGCAGCCCAGCTGCTAGGTCTATAGTACACAAGTCATAAACACTGAAGTGTAGCCTTAATACAACCACATATCTACCCACAGTAGTCTTTTGACTGGACAGGGATTTATCCTCATCAAAATGAATCATTCTGTTCAACTGTTGTGGAATTGTGGAAAAAATAAGTCTGGTAATAAAGGTTGCTTACCACCAACATGAACAACATGAATAAATTCCCCCTACCTGGAATTTCTGACACCTTTGTACCTCTTACACCAGCAGGATCTTCAACAAGTGCAGATGTTTTAAAATATCAACCTGAATGTTCAACTAGACAGCATTTCCCCAGAAACACCAAGTGATACACTCTGCAAGTCAGGATCCTGTGGAACATACCAAACCGGATCAACCAACCGTGGTTATTCATTTAGAATCCTGAGTTATGGTGTTACTGCACG